ATAGTGCTAAGCACTTTACAGATATAATCTCATTTAATTTAACTCTCACAACAACCTCGAAAGATAGATGTTATTATTTCCTCCATTTTGCAGTTGAGAAAACTGAGACAAATAGAGATTAAGTAACTTTCCCAGAGTCACACAGCTTGTAAGAGTCTGGGTTTGATTTGAATTTAGGTCTTCCTGACTTCAGGCTTGGTGCTGTATTCACTGAGGCACATAGCTGCCTAAAGCACTATATATTCATGGTAACGTGGGTTACATTACCATTCAAACAGGATTTAGTTTGCTGCCCTATCATGACTCACTACCCTTTTCCCCAACCCCTACATGGAAGCCCTTCTTTGTAACAAATAGGTTTAGTTAATTGAACGAATTAAACATATATTGTCCATATGATTTCTTTGGATTTTTCAGGTTCATAATTTCTTGTGGTACAATAATATTCCACAATATTTGTATTTACCACAATTTTTAGCCATTTGCCAAATGAGGGTATCCACTTTCTTTCTAATTCTTTGCTATCACAAAAAGTTTTCCCAAAAAGTTTTTGTATTTATGGGATATTAGCCCTGCGTTTTTAACCTCTTTGAAATATATTCTTGGTAATAGTGTTACTGGGTCAAAGGATATGTATAGTCTAGTGAATTTTATAGTATAATTCCAAATTCTTCTCAAGAATAATTGCATTAAGTTTTAGCTCCATTAACAGTATATCTATCTGTACCCCTCCTATAGTCCTTTCTCTCTCTCTCTCTCTCTCTCTCTCTCTCTCTCTCTCTCTCTCTCTCTCTCTCTCTCTCTCTCTCTCTCTCTCTCTCTCTCTCTCTCTCTCCCTCCCTCCCTCTGCCTTTGTCAACTTTGTTAAAAATTTGGAATTATATATAACATTCACTAGACTATACATACCCTTTGACCCAGTGACACTATTACCAAGAACATATTTCAAGGAGGTTGAAAACAGGGCTAATACCCATAAATACAAAAAACTTTTTTGGAAAACTTTTGTCAACTTTGTTAATCTTGTTATGAGATGAACCTTTAGACTTCTAAAAATTTGTATTTATCTCATGATTGATTATTTGAAACATTTTTCAGTAATAATATAATTGTTAGCTATATATATTAGACCTTTATAAAAGTTACTTGCTGCAAAGACTTTTCCCATTTTACTGCTCTTATTTTAGCTTCATTGATCTTGTTAGTGCAAAATCTTTTCAATTTTATGCAAACAAAATTGTATATTTTCTCTTCTAACCTCTGACCTTTATTTCATAAAGAATTATCTTGCTGGCTATAGTTGTATATACATATTTTTTGTTCTAGTTTCCTCTATTTAAAAAAAACAATTTATGATGTGTTCTTTTATATTGAGGTTGTCTGTTCAGAGCTTGTTGTGGTATATGGTATAAGACGTTCAGAACCTTACTTCTGCCAAATGACTTTCCAATTTTCTGAACAATTTTTGTTGAATATGAGTCTTTCTCTGGAAGTTGATATTCTTGGTTTTATTAAACATTTGGTTACTATGCCCACTAGCTTGTAGTTTTTGCTTATGGTGAGATTCTATGCAGCAAAATTCATAGCAAAGCAAATGAATTATCCAATTTCCTACACTATAAAATGCACATTATTCAATATATGACATACAACTTGATACATAATTTGACAAAATGCAGTAGGATATAAGCTCTGTGAAGGTAAGGACTTTCCCCTCTTTTTGTCTTGATATTTCTTACCTTGCACGGCTCCTAGGCACATAATAAATATATGCTGAATGGAATTGAATTAAATAAAATACTACTGTGCACATACATTTTGGTATATTTTTCCTGTGTTGTGATTGGTGCAAAAGCAAACTCAGGAGCACAGATTCAGAAGGATGATTTTCAGCAATAATTTATTATTGTAGTTATATCATGTGTGACCTAGGCAAATTGTGGAAGGACTACTCACATTCCTAATGCTACAGGACACCAAAGTTTTCTGGTAAGATTATGTCATCTCAATACTCTCACTGAGTTTGCTATACTTCTCCACTGGTCACCACTGGTTTTCTGATGACAACAAGGAGTATGACCTCATAAAAGAATGAAGAGCAGTGACAGGGGCAATGCACTTGTAGGCTTTGCTGCCTTTCTGGTTTCATGGTGAATGCAGAATGTGTAGTTTCAGTTGCATGTTCCTCTGTGTTGGGTCTATGGTCTTTGCTAGGCTCATCTCCTCAGGTCCCTCTGAGCCATCTTAGCTTCTCTACAAGGATGTAGTAGCTAGAATCTCTCCTTGAGAAGGGCAAGCTGATTTTTCTTTTGTCACAGCTGAAATATCTAGCTAACAAAAGATAGGCAGGGTGGTCCCAGTCTTTTCTTTGAGGTTCCTATGTCCAGATGATGATCAAAGCTTTCAACTACAGATAACTAACTCAGTGTTAAATATGCCCAAGTTCCTGTCTGGCTTAGCATGTAAAATGAATTGAAACTAGAACAAAGGAGAAGGAGGTAAAGTTATTTTTTTCCATCCACCTTGTCCACATTCTTATCTTTATTATATATTATATATATTTGCTAGTCTCCAAACTTAATTGCTTTGTTCAATTACAGAACCTCAATCTCCTTATTTTCTCTTATAGATCTATGTGCTTGCCATTAGGGCACTTACCCAGGATATTTTATTTTTATTTTCTTAAGGTAAACATTTATTTAATACTAAGTCACAAAGGACATTATTTTACTCATAAAGAAATTAAAGATACTAAAACTTTAACTAAACTCATTTTTAAAAATGGACAACTAAACAAATATAAACTTAAGAAATGGGACACAAAATAACAAATTTTCTGTGAGGCATTAGGGTACACCTAAATATACTTGACCTACCATGTGTTCAAGCCAATTCCTTTTCCCACTAAAGAATCTGCAGCTACAACTTATCTGGGATAGACAGGAATATCTATGAACATAATCGTAAGCAACATAAATGAAGATGATATCCATTATATAGTATAATACATATGAAACTGTCTAATAATACATGAAATTCACACTAGAATATATGCAATTAGCACTAGTACATGTTATATTATGAACATAACATAAAGTGCATAAACAATAGCATATGTTACAAAGTGTCGTATATAAAACTAAATGTACAAAATTTAATGCAGTAGAAAACAATGTCACATTAAAGATTTGCAGTCGGTACCAAGTACGTAAATCACATCAGGATACATGCAGCATGCACTATAGCTGTAGTACATGTATGTATTTATATATATGTACATACACATACATGTGTATATATATAACGTAATATTCATATAACATATATAAAGACATGTTTGGCAGTGATGCTTAGTGAAGAAATACATAGCAAACCCATAAATCGGTTATATAACACATAAGGGAATATTTTCCAATTATTTCAAGGCTTTGAAAATTGGGTTATTTACAGCACAGATTTCTTCTGTGTTTACGTGGTCTGGCAAGATTGCTTTTCTCTGTTTCATTTTCTTTATTGCCATTTAAACTTCTTCATATAGCACGTCAGGGACTTTGTCGTCCAAATGTGTTGGAACCAGTGACAACACAATGAAAATAGGTCACTATGGATGAACTGGCAAATATCTTTCACTTTTGTCCATTAATCCTTGTCCTCATTTAATCTGTGAATGTTCTTAGGATGATGTGGATTGGTTGAGTCTCACGCCAAGCTTTCTGCAGACTCATTTCCCTCCTTGACTGTTTTATGAGGCAACGGTCCCTGTAATTTTCCACCACACTTCATAATATTTTGGAAATGAGTTCATGTTCTATACTGATGGTGTCCTTGGATGTCACATCTTCTTCCCAAGTGGAGGATGTTAGAAAATTATCAGGAGTATGACCTCATAAAATTGTGAAGAACAGTGAAAGAAGAAATGAGCTTCTAGGTGTCTCAGGATGACTATCACTGTTTACTTTCTTCAGTTTCCTGCTCTTCACTAAGTATCTCTATAACTGGAAACTTAGGCAAAAAAGAGACTGCCTCTTAGGCTGGTTGGCTTCTTCTTACTGATCAAGATAGCAGCAAAACAAATATGCTGGGTGAAGCTGATTTTTGATCTGGACTTTTTTATTCTCATTATGTTAATTGCTTTAAAACAGAAGACATCAGCAACTAATGACTGATTCACCCACTGTTTAAAATCTCTCTAAGGACATACTTGATAAATATATGAGAACTGAAACAATTAGCCTTCCATAATTTTCTACAAAACATTTTCAGTCATATAGTTGATTAAAAGGTATAGGAATCTGAAGATTCCACTGTCTTTACTGTTTATTAATTATATTGTATTCTAAGATGTTCTTTTGTTTGTAGTAGAAGGTGCCAAGTCTTGTGTGATCCTGACCATAGTTCCTTGGTACTTGAATGGATTCTTTCTGAATGTTTATAGTATTTTTTCTTTGACATGGGAATTTTAGATATGATGTTCTTGGGATTTTGTATTTTGGGATTTCTTTCGGTAGGTAAATGATAAATTCTTTCTATCTCACTTTACTCTCTCTAATAGCTCTCTCTGGGCAGTTGTTAAATAATAGTGTGCAGATTTTTTTTTGTCGTGTTTTTCAGGGAGTCCAATTTTTCTTAAATTATATCTTCTTGAACTGTATGGCAGGTCAGTTTTTTATATTAGATATTTTACATTTTCTTTTTTCTTTTTCTTTTTTTGATTTTGTTCCTATATTTCTTTCTGTTTCATGGGGTCATTGATTTCTGTTTGGTCTATTTTAGTTCTCAGAGAATTTATTACTTGGGTAAGGTTTACCATTTTATCATCTAAACTATTTATTCTCACTCCAATTATTTTCTCCAAAGTTTTCATTTCATTTTTTATCTCTTGTTTCAGTTTTTTAAGCTATTCATGTAGTAATTGCAGAAAATCTACTTTGTCCCTTTAAGTACCTACTTACAGTTGATATGGGGGAGGGGGGGAGTCACTCTCTGTTCTGTTTCTTGGCCCAGTCTGTATTCCATGCCTGAGTTGCATCCTTTTTGACTTTCACCTCTTAGAATTTTTAACATCTATCAAGGCTCAGCTCCTCCGCCATCACTTATGGAAAACCATTTCTGATCCCTTTAGTTGTGAGTTCTCTCTCTCTTCTCAAATTATTATGTATACGTTATCATTCTGCAGCCCTTCAGAAGAATGTAAGCTCCTTGAGGCTTCAATCCTTTGGCCTTCTCCATCATGCCTCTAAGTACCTTATCATCCTGCAAAATTATATCTCCTTTGGTACTCACTTGCTTATCAGTACCGTCTGCCCCTTGGGCCCCTATGAATGGAGGGCGTAGTGGAGAGCTCCTGCTTATAACATTTAAAAAAATAGGATGGATTCATGGAGCGTCTTTCAGATTGTAGATACTTTCATCACACCTACTCTTTTTATAAAGTCTTTTATTACAATCCATTAGAGTTCTTTCCCTCTTGCTTTTTTCTCCTTACTTTACTCCAGAAATAAACAAACAAAAAAGACTAGAAACATGTCCTTGAAAATTAATTTTATAGTAGTTTTTCTTATCTAGTGGATTAAAAATAACTGGCAAATTTCCTCTAAGTGTGATATCTGGATGTAAAACAGTGTGCAGTTAGTTTGTAAGAGAAATAATACATTAAAAGTGCAGGAATAACAATTCACAAGTATTAAGCATTTCATATTTTAAAAAAAATGCTGGATTGAATGTTGTAATTTCTTAGTTACCCATGGTGTTCTTTTACCCTTCAGAAATAAGTGAATTTTAAAGTGGGGAATCTTTTATTAAAAATACTCAGCCAGATGTAGCTTATTACTTAGAATTTGTTGGACATGCTGAAGCTTGCTTTCAATATTCCTTCCTCAAATAACATGTAAAAGTATATCCTGGGTAAATAGTGAAAGCACAAATTGTAAATGATATGGAGATTAGACAGAAAAACTTTTCTGATCTCTCTCTTCACCACTACCCCTCATCCTCAAGTTACTTTGCTATGTGTCTGTTTAAAAGGGACTATCTGATCCTCTGACTGGTCAATTGACTGGTCAATTTAATTAGAACGGTTCTTTTGATAAACATTACATAAAGAAAAGTGATATCTAGAGAGAGCTTACTTCAGCCTAAACAGAGCCCATATGAATTCTGTAATAAAATGTATTAGTATTCTGGTCAATTATTTGTCTTCTGTGTAAAACTATAAAAAGATCCCTATACAAGTTGATTTTTTACCAACAGGAAGGTGCTATATAAAACCAAATTATTATTATTATTTATTACCTGGCCTTTTAAAATACTAATGTAATGATGACTAGGAAAATAGGGCCCACAGGTAACAGTAATTGATTGGCTAGCATAACAGGGATTTTTAGATAGGTTTGGAATGCTCTACCCAACATCTCAGAGAATTGGGATTCTACTTTTATGGAGAATAGAAGGACAACCATGACTGGGCATTCAGTTCTTCACTCCCCTATCTTCAAGACTGATATTGGATTATAATTATATCTATTACCTGTCAGATATTTGCAGTCTAGTGATATGATTCTTTATTTTTAAGGGTGGTGAGGGGGAAGGCTGTTCATTAGAAACAGCTCTTTCCTTTTAGATCTGACTGGGGAGAGAGAGCGTAGTTCTGCCTAGACCAAGAGGGTAACAGCTTAATCTCTGCCAATTTGGATCGCTTCCTACCAAATATTTATTATACAAAACAATCACAAATATTGAAAAAATATATTTATCAAAACAAGCAACAAAACCATTCTTAGGGAAGTCAAACAAATTGGATTAGGCAATAGAACACATGATCCATTGGTCTCTGTAATGTGAGATGAAATCTTGGCTCAATGGAGGAGAGAGCAATCTCATTTCCTCAACAGTCTACGGGGCACAGTTGCTGGGAATCAAGGGGTATCTTGTGTTCCAGTTCCTCCTCACGTGTCTACTGTTCTACCAATTTTCTTTTCTCCACTTAAAATCTACCAGTGGTGGGGAATTTGTGACCTCGAGGCCACATGTGACCCTATGTTCCCTTAAGTGTGACCCTTTAACTGAATCAAGACAGTTTTGCCTCAGTCAAAGGGCTGCACTTGAGGACCTAGAAGGCCATATATGTCCTCAATGCCATAGGTTCAGTACCCCTGGTTTATACCTTCTCTCACCTCACCTGTTTTTTTTTTTATCTCCCCCTACTTCTCTCTCTCTTTCTCCCCCCCCTCCAAAATCTCTACACACGTAAGCACCATCATAACATCAAAGGTTTCTCAATCAGGGGTCATTTCTCCATGCATGCAGCAAGCAGATTCACAGGGCTGTCCTTTAGGGAACAGGACTGTCCTTCAGAGGAGCATGTTACCATAACTGCATTTACCCATCTGAAAACTGATTTGGACTTTGCCTGGAATTCTGAACCTATTTACTCTTTTTGACACAATAACAACAACAAAAAAAGATAATGCCTTATCCAATTGACATTTATTGCATACATTAAATTGAATGCATGAATTTAAAATATTATACCTATTATCCATATGGACTATGAACTACATACATGCTATACATATGGACATATTCTGTGTCAACCTTCTCTGGCACCCCTTCCCCACTCCCAAAAGAACTACAATTGACTGAAGCATACTTGTAGTTCAACTGTTCAGGTTAAATGACAAGAGTTAAAGTTCACTTTGTCATAGATTACTCATTGTGGCAGTGCTAGTTAGCACGTGATTAAAAAGATATCTTGGAAGTCTTGTTTGTAAACGCTGGGACCTCAGAAAGTTATTAAGCATTGTCTTTTCATCCATTGAATCTCTAAGATTTTTCTCAATTATAATTTTGATATTATCATTAATAAAAACATTAATAAAAACAGCAGAGCATAACTTTGAACTTTTTATGTGCTTATCATCCGATGAGCTAATTTGCCTGAGTGGACCAGTTCACTGACTAATCACTGGATTCAGCAGTCCCATGTAGACACAACACAATGAAAATGAAGCTTTTCTCTCTGGATAGACAAATAGTCTATGAGTTAATATATCACAGTTATTTGTGTACATGTCTTCCTACTTTAAAGCTTTACTCCATTGCCTCATCACTTTGTGGAAATATATCTGGTTTTCTAACAATTAGGCAGAGTATAGGCTGTGACACAGAGGTTTCAATTGGAGGCATATAAGTAGTACAGTGGATAGAGTTCTGGTCTTGGAGTCAGGAAGACCTGAGCTCAAATCTAACCTCAGACATGTACCAGTTGTGTGACCCTGGGCAAGTCACTTAATCTGTGTCTGCATCGGTTTCCTTAACTGTAAAATGGTGACGGTAATAGCACTTATTTCTCAGGATTGTTAGGAGGGTCAAATGAGATATGGTGCCTGGCACATAGCAGGTGCTTAATAAATAATTGTTCCCTTCTCCCTTTCCTGCCCCTCCGCCCCTACTCTATGCCTCATGGTAGAAGATTGGCAATGTATCAATGAAGTTTTGTCCAAACCAACTACCATCTCACGAAGACCACCTACTAAAAGCTATCAAGATTAACATCTATATTGGTGATGAGATTATATATTTTTGAAGTATCTGAAGTGTAAGTATCTCATCTTCTCTACTATATTGTAAATTCTTTAAAATCAGCAACTGTGTCTCAATCATCTTTTGTCTCCTATAGTATGGAACACAGCCCCTTTTAAATAGCAGGTACTTATCTTTGGTGAGTTTAACTGTTCCTAAGAGAACAGCTGAACGTCTTGTGTGAGAGTACAATCTTATATGCCACTTTATTGTCATGAATCTTAGTAACTCAAGCACTATACAGAAATTCTTTCAAGGATGCTGAGCTGTCTTAGATTCTGCTTTATTACTTTATTACTTTTCTTTTTGTCTCCTTGAGATGAGCAGATAAAGAAATCGTGTGTGTGTGTGTGTGTGTGTGTGTGTGTGTGTGTGTGTGTGTGTGTGTGTAGGTAGCTAGAGATATCAGTGAAGGGACCCACCTGTTTGACTGTAATTTCTTGATATTGCTACATGACTGGCTTGTCTCCTTTTCTAGTCATACTTCTTTTCAATGATACATCTTTTTCTCATATACAAGTCATTGTTGGTAATATGCTGTAATCTATTTATATTTGTTATGTATAAGTAACTTCCTATTACCTTTGAATCACTCACAGTTTTGATTCGTTGTAGATCGGATGTTCATTATTTGCACCTAAATGGCTTTATCAGTAAAATATAAATATTAAACAGATGACCTTTTGTGTTATCATGGCTTGGAGGTGATTTTGATTCTTCAAGCTAATATTATTGGAGCCCCAACAGACAGGTTCTACCCATTTGGAAAGGCTTCTCATACTGTCAGTGACTGATAAACTCAGACACTTAGGGAAAGCAGGTGGAGCATCCAGTGAAGAACTATTTGGCTATGACTGAGTATATTGATAGCTAGCAGACATATAGATGGCTTGCTTTTAATTTTGAAAAGAATTCCATTTTGTAAACCTATAACTTCAAATTTATTTATATTCAAGCAATCAAAATTGTGAGTGACTTGAAAGGGTAATGGAGAGAGACATGGCAAGTATTGGTATGCTCCTGTTCTCTCACATTGTGAATTCCAGTTTCAGAATATCTCTAGGAAACATAGCGGATAGAGCTTTGAACCTGGAGCGAGGAAGAGCTGAGTTTGAACCCTGACTCAGGCATTTACTAGCCGTGAAAGTTTGGGTGAGTCACATATTATTTCCAGTTGTTTGCTACCATAAAAACAAACAAACAAACAAACAAAACCCCAAACCACAGCTATTAGGTGGGACCTTTATTCCTGTTTTTGACCTTCTTGGGGTAAGAGGATTTTTATTATTAAGTCTTTAACAAGGAGAACAAGCTCTGAGAGATGTTACTAAGCAGGAAAGGCTTCAGTTACAGACTTTGTATATCTGTTGTCTGAGGGCCAGCCTTTCTAAACTGGAGTGAATCATCACCACCAGGTAGACTGTATGCAATAATGAATTTTTCAGTCAAAATAATGCATGACGACTATTTGCTAATATGTAGAAGGCTTGCAGAATTTCTTACTGGAAGAAGAACTCACCCTGAGGAAATTACATATTCTGGAGGTATGGATTGTATCACACAATCACAGAGTATCAGGATCGAAAGGGATGTTAAAAGCCATCTAGTACAAAGCCTATCTGAGCAATCATCTCCATAAGTGGCATCCACTCTCTGGTAGCAAACCTCTAGTGAGGGTGAATTCAGCTGTTCTCTTTTACACTTCAAACCCTTCACAACTTGCCTCTAACATCCCGTTGGAGTTTTATTATTCATTATTCCACTTGATGCACTACAGTCCCACTAAACTGGCTTTCTGGCTATTCTTCACACATGATACTCCATCTCCTGTGTCTATCCTTTTGTACAAACTGTTTTCCATGTTTGAAATGAATTCCGTCTTCAACCCTGGCTTCTTAGAACTCCTAGTATCTCTCAAGGATGATTGGTAAGAGCTCATATTCCTCTAGCTCTAGCTCCCATCTTGTCATGATGCTCAGTGCTGTTACAACTCCCACTGTGCCCTCCCAATGTGACTCTTAGCTCCTATCATAGAACCTTGGTAATTGGTGAGAGATCACCACATCTAGTTGATCTGAGCCCTTGAACATGCCAGTTGCTTGTGATGGTATCTTTCCTTCTACCCCCACTGCCACTTCCACCTCCTGTTCTGGGAACAGTAGTTAAATGAAGCCATTGCTTCTGGAAAGGACGCATAATTCAATTGCCCTATGGCTCCACTTACTATTTCTGTGACTTCATTCTTCCCTGGCCACCACTCACCTACCTCTGTTGTCTCTCTCTATTTGAATACCTTGCAGAAACATAAGATGCAGACTGAAATGGAAACAATAATGAATTATTAAATAACAAGTAGGTCAAAGAACAAATCATAGAATCAGTTAATGATTATGTAAAAGGCAATGATAATAATCAGGCAACATGCCAAAATTTCTGGGATACAGCTAAAGTAGTCCTTAGAGAAAAAAAATTATACCTGTCAAAATGTAACATTAGCAAAACAGGAAAGGAGAGTATTAATGGACTGAATACACAGAGTAGGATCAGCCTCTTCTATATTAGAATTTCTAGCACTTAGTCAGTACCTGGTACATAATAAGAACTTAATAGATACTCATTCATTCATTCATAGCTACAGGGGCAGCTAGGTGATAAAAGTTCTGGGCTTGGAGTTAGGAAAATCTGAATTAAAATCCAGACAGACATGTACTACCTGTGTGACTCTGGGCGAATCATTTAACCTCACTCTACCTCAGTTTCCTCAGCTATAAAAATGGGCTAATAATAGTATCTGCCTCACAGGGGTGTGAGGATGAAACGAGTTAATATTTGTAAGGAACCTAGCACAGGGCCTAGCATATAGTAGGTACTTTATAAATGTTTCCTTCCTTCCTTCCTTCCTTCCTTCCTTCCTTCCTTCCTTCCTTCCTTCCTTCCTTCCTTCCTTCCTTCTTTCCTTCCTTCCTCCCTTCCCTTCCTGTACCATTTTATAGATGGGGACTGTCCTAATTCCCATAGCTACCAGTGCCTCCCCTCCCTCCACAATTTACCTCGTATTTATTTTGTATGTGTACTAATCTATGTACATTTTGTTTTCCCCAATAGAATATATATTCTTTGAAGGCAGAGACTATTTCTTTTCTTTCTTTGTATACCCAGGACCTTACACAGAGCCTGCTATGTAGTAGATGCTTCATGAATTCTTGTTGATTGATTCAATGAATGAATGCACTAGCCTTATCCATTTTTGTATACTTCTAATTATTAGAAAGTTTTTTCTTCTGTCAAGTCTAAAGTACTAAGCCCTACAGAAAAATATGCATAGAGTAAAATAAATGAATAGTAGGAAAGATTACAAAGTTAAAATGTTAACTTGTGACTAAGCTGTATTCTTGCTTGTCCTTCTATTTCCTCTGCTCTCACTTCACTCACTCCTCTTTCTTCCCCTTCTTGTCTGAAGTCAGGCGGTCAATTTTTTTTACAGGCTGGTTATTGAATCAAGGTATCAGTTTCTATCTATCAAGGACTTGGTTTGACTAGGTTATGTTTTCTTTACCCTTCCAGAATCTTTTTCCCAACCTGAAGCTGTGTGTACATGGGAGTTTCAAGACTTTGGCAGGATCCCACAAACTTTGTAGACCTCTCCCTTTCTTTTTTGAGTCTTTCTGTTGGATTTTAGACTTGCAAAAACTTTGTCACTTCCCTCACCCTAGGACTCTCTGACCAATGCATTTATGGGAATCCTGCCTTTATCCTCTGACTTTCTGCACAAGAAACATTTTCACAAAAATCTTTACCTTGGGCTTTAGCTTTATTTCACTGATCTCAGATGGTCTCTTATTGTAGTCTTCTGGAGTTTATTTCACTTCTTGTTTTGAAAATTTCTTTTACTATTGACACATTTATTCCCTTTGTCTTTATTTTGCCTGAAGCAAATTCATTGTCATCTATGATTTCTGGTTCTGCCCTTATTGGTGAAATTAATTTCTGTACTCTTGTTTTAGAGTGATATCTGGTCCTCAAGGCCCCATGATGCTTCTTCAAAGGACGTTTCCTTCCAGAAGGAGCTTTTTTCTGCTCAAATCAATTCCCTTTGCAGTGCTTCCAACCAAAATCCCATTTCTATATCACACTGACATTTATTGACAGAGTTGGGATAATACTTACAACGCAGGAGCAATGACTGATGGATAACAGCTTTCCACATAAGGCTTCTGAGTCATCCTCAAATGGGGGTGAGCTTTCTAAACTCTGAATTTAATAATAGAATAGCATAGGTTTGCACTGAGAAGAGTCAGGTCAACTTCTGCCCATTTTTGCAAGTCTCCCCAAGATGAATTATAAGAAGGGAGCAGTTTCTATGTACAAGAGACTTTGTTGGCGAGGAAGGGCAGACACAGATCTCAAAGCAGTCATGAGGGAAAGAAGCTGATTTGCTCAGCTACATGAGAACTTAGAGAAGGCCACTGCACAGAAAAGACTCCAGAAGAAAGGTATGCATCAGATTAAGTCACTGGAGTTGGAGAGGGGCCTGTATGTTCTTGTGGCCCCTAGAGAGAAGCAATTGGTGCCAGACAAGGATACTAAACTGGAGCAGAGCAATGGGGCTCCACTAAGAGGGAGAAATGTTGATTGAAAATGGAATCATGGAACCAAGGACTGGAGGAGGACCTGGATCTGAGGAATAGCAATGCAGAGAGCTATAATATGGATCTGTGAATCCAAATTTTACCTTTGAATAGTATGATGAGTCATGTATACTCTCAATGTATAGAGGCTGGAGGTGAGCTCATCTTTCTATGGGAACTGAACCACTCTGGGTAGTAGTACAGTACAGAAACACTATATAGGTCACTGTGGGCAGTATAAGAATTTTACTGATTTTCTATGGGCTAATTTAATAAAATTTCTTTTTTAATGTTAAAAGTTTTATTAACATGAGAGTTTTCAGAGAAACCTAGAGTCTTCTTGGGAGAGAATTTCATCTTTTTTTTTTTCATTTTTTTGCTTCTGTTTGACTGATTCTCGCTCTCTCATAGAGACATTAGTTTCCATTTGTCCAATTCTAATTTTTAACAGATTGTTTTCTTCTGTTAGTTTCTGTACTTCCTTCTTCAATTGGCCAATTGTGTTTTTTAGGGACTTGTTTTCTTCAGTGTATTTTTTTTTCCAATTGGCCAATTGTATTTTTGAAGAACACTTCTACTTCTCTCATTTGACTATTAAAATCCTCCTTTAGCTCTTCTAAGAAGGCTGTTTGGGCTTCAGACCAGTTCATATTCCCTTTTGATGTTGCAGATGTGGGTTTGTTGACAATGTTGTCCTCTTCAGAATTTCTGTCTTCATCTTCACTCTTCTCATAATATGAATCTATGGTATGTTTCTTTTTACTCATGGTGTTTAGTCCCTGGCCTTTAAAGAGATTGAGCTCTCCTTCTGGGGAACAGAGGGCACTGACCCAAGCTTCTTGTGTTAGGAGCCTAGGTCTTGGTCACTGGCTTTGTGTGCTGGGTCCTCTTATGCTGACAATTGGAGGCTGTAGGTTTCCGGCAGCTTACCTCATGTTTGGCTGGAATCAGCAAGTCTGGAACTTTCAGGCAATTCTAGGTTGCCTGCTTTTCCTTTCCTTTAGCTTTCTTCAGCTCCTTTTAGATGGGTGCTGCAGGGTGTTTATCTGCCTGGGGCCCCCTGCAGTGCTGTCTCCCTTGTTTCTGCTAATGCACTGGGAGATTCCTTTGCTGTGGAGTGCCGAGGCACCTGGTGGTTTTCTGAGCTGGTTTCCACCAGTTCCCCCACCCTCACTGAGGCACTAGGAGGTCCAGATGTTGGTGTTTGCCCATTCTACCACCTGGGCTTCAGAATTTCTTCACAGTTGGAGGCTGCAGGGCTCTGACAACTCACCTGGTGTTGGGTTGGAATCAGCAAGGCCAGGGCTTCACAAAGCCTTTAGGTTGTTTTCTTTACCTCCTTTCAGATGAATGCTGCAGGGTACTTATCCACCTGGGGCCCCTTGTAGTTCTGCCTCCTTTATTTTTGCTGAGGCACTGGGAGACCTGTTTGCTGGGCTGCTGCACTGCTGCTCCCCATCTTTCTTCTAGTTCAGGTGTTCCAGGG